AAAAAAAAAAAAAAAAAAAAAAAAAAAAAAAAAAAAAAAAAAAAAAAAAAAAAAAAAAAAAAAAAAAAAAAAAAAAAAAAAAAAAAAAAAAAAAAAAAAAAAAAAAAAAAAAAAAAAAAAAAAAAAAAAAAAAAAAAAAAAAAAAAAAAAAAAAAAGAAGAAGAAAAGAAAAAGGGAGTGCCAACTTTGTTCTACAGAGACATGAGAAATGCAAGTATAGTCTGACACCCGGGACCCGCGAGGGAGGTCCATCCATAAGTGCATTGCTTACAGCTCCCTTGCGTGTCCTATAGAAGTGCCTGGAAAGGAGTGGTCACATTCTGGCTCCCGACACCTCTACAGGGAGTGTAAGGGAGCTGTACAAGTGGATGCTCATATGGATGGAGCTCCGTCACAGCACAGGCTGAGGATCCACTCCAGTTCTCGTTAGGTAGGGAGACTGGGTGGATTTAAAAATGATAAAAGAAAAAAACTTACTTCTTTTAAGTGTGTGTACGTGTGTGTGAGAATGTCTGTGGTTGTGTGTGTCTGTCAGTGTGTTCGAGAGCCCATTCACACTAGAACAGTGCGTTAATCGCACAGTCCCATGCGATTAACGCACTGTACCAAGCAATCGCACCTACCGTGCATTCTGGTGTGGGAGGTGTAGTGAATTGTCATTCATTTAAATGACACCCCCAAACGCATCTCCCACCCACAGTTCTGTCGCCTAAATTGGAACGCACGGTACCACAATGCTGTGCGCTCCATTGCAGTGCAACTTGGGTGACGACTTAATGACCAAGGACTAATGTGGGTCCTGATGTTACACAGGTTGAGAACCACTGCCCTATACTACCATCCCGCGAAGCCGTGCGCTAGGGATTTTGAATGACTCGCTCAGCCTCCTGTGACAGTGTATGTCAGAGAGGAGTGCGGTACAAACACTCAGCAATCAGTGATCGCCGAGTGTTTGTAGATAGTTGAGGACACGGTATGTTGACTATATCCTCAATTATGAATGAATAGGAAGTGATCTACATTCACTCCTGTTCATTCATGATTGTGGTTATAGTAAACACACTATGTTCTCATGTTATGAATGAACAGGAACACTCAGTATAGAGGATTCTTGTTCATTGATAACAGCGGCTGCAGAAAAAGAGATTGAGGACTTTGTGTCCTCAATCTCTTTCTATTTTATAGGGAAACATCAGGGGTCTGTTAAGACCTCTAATATTTCCCCAAAGCCCCATAAAAGTAAAAAATAAAAATATTTAATAAAAAATGAATAAATTAAAAAAATTAAAATAAAAACATTTTCGCTTCGGCCTGACAATTTTTTTTATTTCGGTTTTTAAATTTCTATTTCGGTGCACCTCTAGTTTTTTAAAAACATTTTTACACCCGCTAGAGTTGTACGATTAAAGTTTTTCCTCACAAGCAACAAGCACACCAGGTCCAGCAGTTCCACAGAAACAAGAAAAAAAAATGTAGCTCTACAGAAACATTAAAAATTTAACTATAGGATGCTGGGTATTGTAGTTACAGAGACAGAAGTACCAGTACAGCATGCAAGGATGCGCAGTGCAAAAAGAAGCCCAAGTACAGTGTGGGGGTCTGATTATGCAGTAGAACAATATGGTGTGCTAGGGTGTATAGCACAGCTACAGGATAGATGTAACTATAGTATGGTGGACTTTACAGTTCTACAGAGGCAGGAACAGACAAGTGGCGGCAGGTAGGACTTGTAAATGTACAGAGACAGGACAGATGCCAGCGTGGAAAGTTGTAGCAATTGTAAAATTGTGTTTTGAGCATATCCTTGACCCTGCCATTATAAAAACTTTGAGAGAGAAATAAAATGTCTCTATTGACAAGTCAGACCTATCTGTCAATAGGGCAGAACAGAAAATGAAAGAATAAACTACAGCAATGGACAACCAAGTCATTTTACATATGTGAAAGATGCACTCTATTCAAAACTGATAATTGCAAACTTTAGGTTCTGTGTGACCTCAAGGTTAACAGAGGATTGACTGGTACTCTTTAAAGCCTTGGTTCTCAACTGGTGGGTCGTGACCCGTGTTCAGTGGGTCGCCGCATGCCTTTTACTTTTCTAGGCGAGAGGCTCCTCAGCCCCCTCCTAGCCTCCCCCTAGCACAGCACTGTCCATTCTTACACCAAGCAGCCATTCCAAATATGCTGCCTATCGCTGAGTGTTGACTTGAGGTGGGGTGAGCTGGTGTTATGGCCGCGAAGGAGCTCCCTCCATGCATGCATGCATGCATGCATGCATGCATGCATTCATTGCTTAAAGCTCCCTCTCGTGACCTGGACCGGAGTGACAGTCCGGCTCCCGACACCTCTACAGGCGCACATGTGAGCTGCACAGGCAATGCACATATAGATGGAGCTCCATCACAGCACAGCAGCCCACACTGCTGTGCGTTCCATTGCAGTGCGACTTGGGTCGTGACTTCATGACCGAGGACCATTGCTTTAAAATTTACAGGACCTTACACCACTGCAGAGGGGGAGGGGGAGGGGGAGAAAAGCTGGAAGGACCGGTCTAAGAACAAGCCAGCTCTGCGGTTTCAGTGAGTATATTTGTTTTAAGCACCTACACAAAGACAAGCAGTTAACCCTTGCAGTGCAGGGGAAGTCTCACAGCAAGGGTTAATTGAAGTTTTGCAGAGTTCTTTATATGGTAGACAGTAGGGATGTCCCAATACCATTTTTTCAAGACCAAGTACAAGTACTTTCCCTCAGATACTTGCCGATACCAATTACCAATACTTTTTCTTAAAGGGAAATGTGACATTTTTCTTAAACAATACAGACTAGTAGTCCTGTATAGCCATTCTCTATTGCTGTATAATCATTGATCCCATCAATCCATGATTACACAGCAATTATACAGGGCTGCGTGCAGGTCTCACCACCAAGCATGGGACCTTAGGCAGCCGAACTTGTTTAAAAATTTAAAGGGCTGGAATTGGCCTTCAGTATTGCGGCATTTTTACGAGTATTAGCAATCATGAAAATGCCCTGTATTGGCTCCAATACTTGTATCGGTATCGGGACATCTTTAGTAGGTCTGCAACTAACATAGTTACATATTATTTTAGGTTGAATAAAGACACAGGTCCAAGTTCAGCCTTTGTGTGCCTGTGTGTGTTTGTGGGTGCGTGCATGTGTGTATACGAGTCCCTGTGTGGTTTAGTTTTTATAAGAATACCTGTACTCCTGTATGTTACGGTCTCTGAGGAAGGTATCTAAATGATTTTTGAATGATTAAATACTCTCTGCTGATACCACTGCTTGTGGAAGAGAGTTCCAAAATGTAACCACTCTGACTGAGAAGAAGCCCCTATGCCCCTTGTGGTTAAATCTTTTCTCCACCAATTTTAGATGGTGGCCTTTGGTCCTTGTTAGGGAGTTTACAGTAAAGTTTATTGTTGATGTTGCCATCACCACCAAACATTTTGTACATTAAAATCATGTCTCCCCTTAGTCTCCTCACTTCCAGCATGAACAAGTTTAGGTTTAGCAACCTTGTCTCATAGCTTTGGTCCTCCAGCCCCTTAATTAGTTTTGTTGCCCTTCTTTGGACTCTCTCCAGCTCAAGTACATCCTTTCTGTGGATTGATGACCAAAACTGAACCGCATACTCAAGGATGAGGCCGAACCTGCGATCTATAAAAAGGTGCAAAATGATTGCTTTGTCTCTACAGTACATTCCCTTTTTTAATGCGTGACAGTACTCTGATCGCTTTGTTTGCCGCAGCCTGGCAGCACTTAATCATTTATTCACAAGCTTCCCATCTGCTGCTCCTTCACTCCCCTCGCCGGGCGTCGCAGTCTCACTCCATTCATAATCGATTTGTTGGCCGATTATTTTTTTCGATTAATCGGATAAAAAAACCAAAAACAAAACATAATTTATTCTAAATAAAAGATGATTGAGCGTCTCCAGAGATGCCCGGCCGCTTTTAGTAGCCGCCGCTGTCACTGCCGTTCCCGAGACTGCTGTGCCCAATGCAGCTGGGAACGGCACGGCTGCTCTGTGACAGGAGATCAAAGGGAGGTCGGTACATGATCTCTCCAGTCCCGGAATGCAGGAAGTGATGTATATTACATCACTTCCGCATTCTGCTGTCACTCTCCAGCTTCAGAAGCTGGGGAGAAGCTGGTGAAGCAGTTCTCCGCTTCATCAGCTTCTCAGGGGGTCCCTAGGTGACATCAGGGGTCTTGGAGACCCCTGATGTCTCCATAAAGAGGACCTGTCATGTAAACAAAAATGACGATTGCCCTATTGTGCCGCACATGTTACATATCGCTGCAAACGTCGGAGTGAAAGCAATAATTTTAGGGCCACCAATCGCTGAGAACACTAAACTGATGAGCAATTAAAGCATCGCCTATGGCCAATTTTCGGTGTGGTCGTTTTTTTTTTTTTTTGCGATTTTGCAGACGCCCGCAATTTTAAGGCTTGATATGTTTTGGTGTCTATTTACCCGACGTGATGCCATCTTTTATATTTTACCAAAAAAATGGGTAAGAATAAATGTTTTTTAAAACAACGTAGAGAGAACTTTAAAAAAAATAAAATAAAATAATTCGGAACTTTTTTCATTATATAGTAAAAAATAAAACCCCCCCAGTGGCGACTGTCCAAACAAGAGTCCAGTAGACATCCCAGGTATGAGAAAGTTTGAAACACAAAATTAAAAAATTATAATATAATTATAAGAAATTATAATATAATAATAATAAAAATGGTCCAGTAAATGGGAATTCTGGGGGGCGCTGCCTGATCCGTACCACAGTAAATAGAGTACCAATAAAGAAAGAAAGCGGGAAGCTTGTCACAAATGACAAGGAGAGGGCCGAGACGCTGAACACTTTTTTTCTCCTCAGTATACACTCAGGAGGGAAACGGGTTTGACACACGATAAAACTCCCACTTTAACTCAAAATATTCCACAGTGGTTGACGGAAACCGGGATACAACAAAGACTTAAAATGCTCAATGCAAATAAAGCGTTGGGACCGGATAACCTGCACCCCAAGGTACTTAAAGGAACTAAGCCAGGTTATAACTAGCCCATTAATCCTAATTTTTAAAAGGACTCCTTAATGACTGGTAGGATGCCCAGTGATTGGCGGAGGGCTACGGTAGTCCCAATATTCAAAAAGGGGGCAAGGTGCCAACCTGGGAACTATAGGCCGGTCAGTCTAACATCGGTAGTTTGTAAAATGCTAGAGGGCATAATAAAGGATTATCTGGTAGAATTTGTTCAGGAAAACGGGATAGTTAATGACAATCAGCACGTGTTCAGGAAAGATCGATCCTGCCTAACTAATTTGTTAACTTTTTATGAGGGGGTAAGTAGAGACATCGATGAAGGGAGGCCGGTAGATGTGGTATATCTGGATTTCTCAAAGGCTTTTGATACGGTACCACACAAACGCTTGCTACACAAGCTGAGGGCTATGGGCATAGATGAGGTGGTGTGTACGTGGATAGAGAACTGGCTACGGGAACGTGTCCAGAGGGTATCTGTAAATGGCACCTTTTCAGACTGGGCTAGTGTAATGAGCGGTGTGCCTCAGGGTTCTGTGCTGGGTCCCATATTGTTCAACTTATTTATTAATGACATCGGGGAGGGTGTTAACAGCGATATTTCCGTGTTTGCGGATGACACCAAAATAGGGAGGGTAATAGACACGGACTTAGACACTATAACATTACAGGAGGACCTGGATAAAATAGGGGAGTGGGCATTAATGTGGCAGATGAGGTTTAATGTCGATAAATGCAAAGTAATGCACTTTGGAATTAAAAATAAACAAATGGGTTATACAATTATGGGTATGCCGCTGGGGAAGTCAGAAATGGAGAAGGATTTGGGGGTCATTGTAGACCACAAACTGAAAGGTAGTTTGCAGTGCCAGGCTGCTGTAAACAAAGCTAGCAGGGTCTTGTCCTGTATTAAAAAGGGGATGTATTGCAGGGACAAGTCTATAATTTTGCCACTTTATAGATCATTGGTTCGACCTCATCTGGAGTACGCGGTCCAGTTCTGGTCACCAGTACTAAGAAAAGATGTCCTTGAGTTGGAAAAAGTCCAGCGAAGGGCAACCAAACTAATTAGGGGTATGGAGGACCAGAGCTACGAGACGAGGCTAATAAATTTAAACATGTTCACACTGGAGGTGAGGAGATTAAGGGGGGATATGATTTCCATGTACAAAATGTTCAATGGTGGTAGCAACATTAGCGACAAACTATTTAAAATTAACTCCATTACAAAAACTAGAGGCCACCACCTAAAATTGGTGGAAAAAAAATTCCAGCACAAGGGGCGAAGGGGGTTCTTCACAGTAAGATCAGTTAGGGTCTGGAACTCACTGCCACAGGCGGTGATTTCAGCAAATAATGTGGAATTGTTCAAGAAACTTTTGGACGATTTCTTAAGGGACCGTAATATACAGGGGTACGGGTACTCCTAGAATGAGATCCTAATAGGTTGGACTTGATGGACTAATGTCTTTATTCAACCTCAAATACTATGTAAGTTCACACATCACTGAGCTCGGTCGCAGAATCGTCGCTGTTTTAGGTCAAAAACGGTTTTAAACGGTAGAAAACAGCGATAGTAAATTAGAATCACTTGCAGAATTGAGTGATAGTGATTCATTGGGAAATTCGTCATCAGACACTGAAAGTGACTTTCAGTGTCTGATGATGAATTTCCCAACGAATCGCTCAATTCTGCAAGTGATTCTAATTTACTATCGCTGTTTTCTACCTGGTTTAAAACCGCTTTTGACCTAAAGGGAGGCTTTTTGGATGCCATGGACGTTTGCAAGTTTTCAAGCAGAATGAACAGTAAAAGTGCAGGCAAAATCTAGTGTGAAATAGTTTGATACATAAGTGTAATTATAGCAGATTACATTGTATTCTGTGTAAATGTCATTTTTTGACTCTTGAATTTCCGCCGGCTCCGCCCCCCGCTGTGACGCCCGAAAACGAAAGTAAAACTCAGATGCCGGCATCGGCCGTCCGCGTACATCAGAGGACACCGCGGGCTCGCAGGGGCAAGGTAAGTGCCACTTTTCTGTGCATTCCCGAGTCTGGCTCGGGGTTACCGCTCCTGGTATTGAAAGTTAACCCCGAGCCAGACTCGGGAATACCGCCAGGGAGGTTAAAATAACGTAGTCCAACCTGGGGCTACAACTAACGATTATTTTCATAATCGATGAGTTGGCCGATTTTTTTATTAATGGGTTAATCGTATTTAAAAAAATACCATCTTTTATTTCAAATAAAATACACAAATGGAGTGTTACAAAACGTAAACGTTTACGTCAGAATAAAACGTCATGCACATAGTTTGCACTTGCAACGCATGGCATTGCAGTACGGCAAGTTACAGTGCAGGTGATCACATTGAAATGAATGGTCTTTTAGACCTCTAGTGTCACCTTTCCCTTTCACTGGGGAATGACAGCCGTCTGCTGATGCAGGGACGTGGACAGCAGCAGAGGCACAGGAAGGCACCAGCAGTGGAAGGCACCAGCAGCGGCAGGCACCAGCAGCGGCATGCAGAGGCACAGCGGTCTCTCTTCCCTGCTGGTACCAGCTGCAGTGGGGAAAGCAGCAGGGATTGAAGCGGATACAGATCGCTGCAGCCGGCACCAGCGGGGAGGAGAACAGAGTAGCAGAGTGGCAGCAGTTGCACATTCAACTAATCAAACATGAGAAATCGTTAACGATTCTCATTATAATCAATTTAATCGATTTATTGTTGCAGCCCTAATCCCTAGTAAACAGACATAAGTCTCCACAGATAATCTTTTTTGTGGCATGCAGGCTCAACAGGTATATCCCAAGCTAGCCACACAGGTTACAATCTGATTGTACAATCTCTCTGCAAAGCTCCCACTAAAGTAAAAAGTCAATTGAATGTTCAGTGTCAGGGAGACTGTAACATGACATTACTGCTGTCAAAGCTAAAGGAGATTGTGAAATCAGTGGGAACATGGTACAGAGTTCTCGTACGTCTGTAGGATAGCAGATGAAATGAGCAGGAAAACACAGTGGTTAAGCCTTACCTCTTATCCAGTGGTGGTTGCTGGGCACCATATACAGGCAATATACTGGCAAAGAGAGAAATACAAATAAGCCATTATGGCCCCCGTTTTATGAAAAAAACGTCAATAAATCGCACATATAAATATTCGAAGCCAACTAGACAGAAGATAAGAGCAGCAAAACTGTTACCGGTTTGCTGATAATTACAAGACACACAGCTCAGCGTGAACGAACCTTCCCGGTACTTTGGCACTTCTCCTCCAGAACTGCCGCCTGTTCTCTGACATGACGTTGGCCTTGACAGATCCCACCAGCTAAGAACACTTAACCAAAGCCACCATGACAGGCAACCGAGTGTACAGCAAAAGGAGTGGAACCCGGAAAGCACGGGGACAGCCTTTTTTTTTCTCATAGCTCCCCCTGCTGGTGCCTGATTTTTAGTGTCTGCATGTGCCGTGCGACTGCAAGTGTCATCAGGATGAGTTTCTTTTCCGCGAATTAGTGCGCTCAATTACGCCGTCCATGCCATTGACCAGGGTTGTGTAGTGGCCAATCAGAAGCCAGATTATAAACTGCTGAGAGCTGAGTTCTGATTGATAGCTGGTTGCGGTGACTGTTTTTTTTTTTCCAGATTTCTCGATGATGCTGAAGTTAGCTTCTTATACGTCTGCTGAAGTTAGCTTCTTATTCAAATGTAAAAGTTAGCTTCCTTTTCATCCAGATTCTTGTTCAGGTTTACTTCTTAGCCATGAAAGTGATTATTTACTAAACAACCATCTGCAAAGTTTATACTATATTTATTTTGAAATATGGCAACATTCCAAGCTTCCTAACTGGCATGTATTGTAATGGGAAATTCTGAACAAGGAGCCAATCAATTCTACAAAAACTAACTTGGCTCACACAAATTTGGCATGTTTTTTACTAAGGAGATTATTCACGACAGAGCCAAAGGATCCAGCCATAGCTTCGGCTGATACTTCGGCTCTCTTCGCCTGCCGGAGCCCTTCGGTTCAGGCGAACCAAAGGGCTGCTGTACGGGCTGCTGCTATATTCATATATGGTTACAATCATCCACATCATATGTTCCTCCTGATGAAGCCACGGCTGTGGCGAAACACGTAGAGGATTTTTCACAACAGTAACCGTCCATTGATTCCTAATAAGGACTCACTGATCTTAACTTCTCATCATCTCTGTGTATGAGGTTTATGCTTACCAAGTTTAGGCTGAGCACCAATATGCATATATGTTTTTATGTTTCGTATTTTTTATGTCTTTAATAAAATATATTTTTACATAATTTTAAGTGTCTGTGAAGGTCCTATAATTGCCTAAATAGCCCTCCATGCCCGTAGCCCTTTGGCCTCGAAACTGTCTTTTTTGTCTAACTTAAAGGACTGGCTCAAGTTTTTCTGCTTATTACCCGCTACATTTTCTCTGTGTGTGTATATCAGACATTTAGTGATAGCCAGAGCTGTAGTCAGCCTGGTTGAATTATAGTGGCATTTATCTGGTTAATTCCAGGTGTCTGGCATTGGCTGTACCCCCCTGGGTGGAGTTTGACTCTGCTATATTGTGGGACAGCCAATGAGAGGCACTGTGAGTGTATGTACAGCAGCCAATCACTAGGTTTCTCTCAATGCTGGGATAGGATACATGCTGGGATAGGATACATATCCTTGGGGGATTTGCCATGTGCTCAGACTAGTCGGGACCAGCCATGGATTAGGGCTGGATGCTGTCCAGCCTGCCCCCCCCAGGCTAGGCCTGAGGCCTGGGTAGGGATGTCAAGTCAAACCAGAACATTTATCAGGAAGCTGGGATGCAGGTCATGATGTACTGCCCCGGCTTCCTGATTGGTTAGGAAGCCAGGCTGCCTACCAACAAGTGAAGCTGGAAAAAAAAAAAATTAATATAAAATATTACAATGACAGTCACTTTCCAACTTTGTTTGATAATATGATGGTATATAGTGAAAAGCAATTTAAGAAATAAACCAGCCAAGCACAGAATATAAACTCAATTTAGGAATAGTCCCTCGTTGCCATCTTCCATATCTGCCCCTTCTGCCATGCTCCACATCTGGCCTTTTGCCATCCTCCACATCTGGCCTTCTGCCATCCTCCACATCTGGCCTTCTGCCATCCTCCACATCTGGCCTTCTGCCATCCTCCACATCTGGCCTTCTGCCCTCCTCCACATCTGCCCCTTCTGCCATCCTCCACATCTGCCCCTTCTGCCATGCTCCACATCTGGCCTTCTGCCATCCTCCACATCTGGCCTTCTGCCATCCTCCACATCTGGCCTTCGGCCATCCTCCCCATCTGGCCTTCTGCCATCCTCCACATCTGGCCTTCTGCCATCCTCCACATCTGCCCCTTCTGCCATCCTCCACATCTGCCCCTTCTGCCATGCTCCACATCTGGCCTTCTGCCATCCTCCACATCTGGCCTTCTGCCATCCTCCACATCTGCCCTGCTGCCATCCTCCACATCTGCCTCTGCTGCCATCCGCCACATCTGCCCTGCTGTCATCTTTTAAATCTGCCCTGCTGCCATCCTCCACATCTCCCCCTGATCTTCTACATCTGCTCTGCTGTCATCCTACACATTTGCCTTGCTGTCATCCTCCACATCTGCCCTGCTGCCATCCTCCACATCTGCCTCTGCTGCCATCCGCCACATCTGCCCTGCTGTCATCTTTTAAATCTGCCCTGCTGCCATCCTCCACATCTCCCCCTGATCTTCTACATCTGCTCTGCTGTCATCCTACACATTTGCCTTGCTGTCATCCTCCACATCTGCCCTGCTGCCATCCTCTACATCTGCCCTGCTGATCCTCCACATCTGCCCCTGATGCCATCCTCCATATCTTCTCAGCTGTCATCCTTCACATCTGCCCTGCTGTCATTCTTTACATCTCCTCTGCCATCCTCCACATCTGCTCTGCTGTCATCCTCCACATTTGCCTTGCTGTCATCCTCCACATCTGCCCTGCTGCCATCCTCTACATCTGCCCTGCTGATCCTCCACATCTGCCCCTGATGCCATCCTCCATATCTTCTCAGCTGTCATCCTCCACATCTGCCCTGCTGTCATCCTCCACATTTGCCCTGCTGTCATCCTCCACATCTGCCCTGCTGTCATCCTCCACATCTGCCCTGCTGTCATCCTCCACATCTGCCCTGCTGCCATCCTCCACATCTGCCCTGCTGCCATCCTCCACATCTGCCATGCTGCCATCCTCTACATCTGCCCTGCTGCCATCCTCCACATCTACCCTGCTATTATCCTTCACATCTGCCCCTGCTGCCATCCTCCGCATCTGCCCTGTTGCCATCCTCCACATCTGCCCTGTTGTTATTCTCCACATCTTCCCTTCTGCCATCCTCCACATCTGCCTTGCTGCCATCTGCCTTGATGACATCCTCCACATCTGCCCTGTTGCCATCCTCCACATCTGCCCTGTTGCCATCCTCCACATCTGCCCTGTTTCCATCCTCCACATCTGCCCTGTTTCCATCCTCCATATATGCTCCTGCTGCCGTCCTCCACATTTGCCCTGCTTTGATCTGCCTTGATGCCATCCTCCACATCTGCCCTGCTGAGACCTTCCACCTGAGACATCGGCCGGCACCCCGCCACTGTGCTAACCACTACGCCACTGTGCTGCCCATACACATATAATAACTTTAAAGGGGTATTATTTGGGTGATTTCCTTTGAGGTACTTCCAGCTACGTATATTGGCGCATAGCAAGTTCATTTATTACAGTTTCTACCACTTGCTGCCCAGAATTAAAACTTACGTTAATGTAGACGTCACCATTGGAGATGGAATTCATACTTTCCAGAGCAGACTTTATTAGGAACTTTCCAGACTTTGCTCACCTTTCCCATTGCGTCTCCTGTAAAGGACACTAGAGACACATATATACACTATATTAACAAAAGTATTGGGACACCCCTCCAAATCATGTGTAGAGAGCTTCATGGAATGGGTTTCCATGGCCGAGCAGCTGCATCCAAGCCTTACATCACCAAGTGCAATGCACTGGACTCTAGAGAAGTGGAGACGTGTTCTCTGGAGTGACAAATCATGCTTTCTGTCTGGTAATCCAATGGATGTGTCTGGGTTTGGTGGCTGCCAGGAGAACGGTACTTGGATGACTCCATTGTGCCAAGGGTAAAGTTTGGTGGAGGGGGGATTATGGTGTGGGGGTTTTTTTTCAGGGGTTGGGCTTGGCCCCTTAGTTCCAGTGAAGGGGACTTTTAAGGCATCAGCGTACCAAGACATTTTGGACAATTTCATGCTCCCAACTTTGTGGGAACAGTTTGGGGATGGCCTCTTCCTGTTCCAACATGACTGCGCACCAAGCAATTCCATAAAGTCATAGATGAGCGAGTTTGGGGAGGAGGAACTTGACTGGCCTGCACAGAATCCTGATCTCAACCCGATAGAACACCTTTGGGATGAATTAGAGCGGAGACTGCGAGCTGACCTGACCTCACAAATGCGCTTCTGGAAGAATGGTTCAACATTCCCATAGACACACTCCTAAACCTTGTGGACAGCCTTCCCAGAACAATTGAAGCTGTTATAGCTGCAAAGGGTGGGCCAACTCAATATTAACCCATATGGCTTAAGACTGGGAAGCCATTACAGTTCATGTGCGTGTAAAGGCAGGCGTCCCAATACTTTTGGTAATATAGTGTAAGTGTCACTGTGCATTGCACTGACCCTGTAACTTTCCTACACAGCTCTGTTTTAGATTATCTCTAAACACCAAGTCTACCATTTCCTTTGGTGTCACACTGTTTTGTCCCAATCTAGTAAAGGGGCAACTGGTGGTGTCACAGTAAAAATGTGGGGGCAGGAAAGCAGGCCTTTACAGAGGTAACCAATCAGTAGCTATGCTATTGAAGATTGTGGGCATGGAAGTGGGTAAAAATATATACTATTTTTCTTAAAACCAGCAGTCTGCACTTTTTAAAGTTCTTGTTTAATAATACATAGTCTTTGCACCAATATAAAATGCATATGAAAGAAATACCCATCAACAAAAAAGTTTTGAATTACTCATTAGAATTAACAACAATGTAAAATATTTTTAAGGTTAACATAAACTATCTTGAAGACAAAACATATATTACAAATTAAACTAAAGCAGAAATGCTTAAAACGGATCTAAAACAAAAAACAAAAATATTAGATAATGTTATTTAATGCAGCTTATCAAGCGTTAGATGTAGTGGCTGCATTAGTTTTCTTTAGTCTCTGAATAACACACTTCCTTGCTCTTGGTGGATTCATTCACTCTTCTACTGCATCTCCGGTGGAAGCCATGA